TGAATGGTCGGGAACATTTTTCATCTTCAGCTGGTTCCGTGGTGAGATTATCCTTCCTGCTTTTGTCAGATATATTTCTGTAAGGGACTCAGAGTTGGCTTTGTCTGCACCAATTCAAGTGGCTAAATATAGGAATGGTCACTTGATTCCACTTAACAAATCCCTGAGAGTTTTTCATTTGATCTTTCAAGGTGGCTTTGAGATAAACCTGGACCAGAGGAAGCTGAAAACTCCCCAAGCCAAGCTCTTTACCGTCCCCAGTGAGGCCCTGGCCATTGCGGTGGCCACTGAATGGGATTCCCAGCAGGATACCATCAAGTACTACACCATGCACCTGGTAACAAGTTCACAGTGCGAATCTGGACCCTGAGACCCACCCAGGGCTTCCTAGGGTAGATCCCTTACCAAATTCTGACAAGGCCCTGGGGGATGGTCCTTTGCCTACCTGGGCCCCAGGTGTTCACCTCCTCTTAAGTCACTAATGTGCTAAACTCTTTCCTTGTCTGGCCTGGCTACTTGCAGTTCTCTCTCCTAGGAACGCTGTGCTGGATGACTGGTTTCTCCTTTGGTTTCAGGACAGATGTCACCTTCACTGACTCCCCAGCTCTCTTATTTTCTATGACAGCAGCTGGCCATTTGTTTTATCAGCACTTAGACAATTTATAATTGTTTTATGTTTGCACATTTATTGTCTGTCTGTCTCTACTGCCTGGTAAGCAACAGAAAGGCAGGAGCCATGTCTGTTTTACTCACCAGTATCTGGACAGCCACTAGCAGGTAGTTTAGTTGGTACTTAATAAATATTAGTTGACTATAAGATCCACTGGAGGCAGATGGGTGAGATGAGGAAGACTCCCTATAGAACCAGAGCCCCTCGTCCATACCAAAGTGGCTCATCTAGGCACCAAGGCTGCCTGGGGAAGGAAGGGCCCAGCCAGACTCTTTGGTCCAGCCTCTACAGCTTCTAGACTGTAACCTTGGGCAGGTTGCTGCCCCTTTCACAGCCCTGTATTCCCCATCTACTAAGATGAGTGATAACAGTACCCACCTCACAGAGCCGTGGTCAGGATGAGATGAGATGATGCAAGAAAGCCCTTGGCATGGTCCCCAGCACTGATTGGGCACTGAGTCAGTGTAGGAGTCAGCTGCTGTCATCCCAGCCGCTGCTGTGCTCAACCTTTGCAAACTCACATGGGCCTCCTGCCAACATCACAGCCTGCTGAGGTGCTGGCCTAATCCTTGACAACCTAGTGAAATTGGGGTGATTGGGGCTACAAACGAATAGGGTAACCTAAGCAGCCTGTTATTGACAAGGTAAGTCTGGAAAAAAATAATCTTTTTTTTTTTTTTTTTAAACAGAGTCTCGCTCTGTTGCCCAGGCTGGAGTGCAATGGCGCAATCCCAGCTCACTGCAACCTCCGCCTCCTGGATTCAAGCGATTCTCCCGTCTCAGCCTCCCAAGTAGCTGCGATTACAGGCACCCACCACCATGCCTGGCTAATTTTTGTATTTTTAATAGAAATGGGTTTCACCATGTTGGCCAGGCTGGTCTTGAACTCCTGACCTCAGGTGATCTACCCATCTCAGCCTCCCAAAGTGTTGGGATTACAGGCATGAGCCACCACACTTGGCCAAAACAAATAATCTTAATCCTGATTTGCATGGTCTGTTTCCCTGCTTTCTAAGGTGTAAGGGAGGCAGCTGGTAAAGGTTTCCAGTCAGATTTGAGCTCCATCACTGATACGTGTCTTATTAACTGTATTTGATGATGTACTTAACCTAACCTGTCTAGGCCTCAGTTTTCACATCCCAGATGGGCATAATAATAGTACCTATTCCAAAGGGTTGTTGTGAGGATTAAATACGCTAGAACCTGGTAATAATGTGACTGTGGGGAGGTTCACTAATCATGGGGCTGCTGCAAGCTTCCTTCAAGTCCTGTGAGCATCGACAGAAAGCATTTGGCATGGAGCCTGGCTGTGGCACACTCTCAGTAGCTGTGCTGCTGCTCCGGTAGTGCAGATGCCTCTGGTGGAGGGCTGTGCTGTGGTGCTATCTGCTATGTGTCAGATGAGGTGTCCTCAGGAAAGCAGGGCTTTTGTCTGAGCCCCACAGGCAGTGACAGGGTGGTTTTTGCCTTTGATTCAGACCACATTGTGCAACACATCCTTGGACAACCCAACCCAGAGAAACAAGGATCAGCTGATCCGGGCAGCCGTGAAGTTTCTGGACACTGACACCATCTGGTAATGGACATTTAGATGGGCATTCCCCTTGGATTGAGACAGTCCCTGGGGCTATTTTTCCTGATTTGCCCAGATGGTTATCAGTGGAAGAAGAAACCCTCTCCATTTATTGCAAGGACAGGGAAGGTGGCCCACTTGACTTTGGCATTTGGCTGCTCTGTAGCCCCTTAGGAGGAGGACTGCTCAGGCTACAATGGTGTTAGAACATGGCCACCCCTCTTCTCTAGCCTAGAAGCTGCTCCTTAGGCTGGGAGGGTGGTTATGCAGCTCTTGCAGGTGCCGTGACCACAGGCCCCTTAGGCCTGGAGGCGCCTGTGACCTTAAACTTCTGCCCACTGACACTTTCTCAGGTAGACATCCTTGGCACTATGGATGCTGATAAGTAGGAGTGTCCTTCTCCAGTTCTGAATTCTCCTCTGTGTCTATATATCTTGGCTAATTGGTCAGTGTTGCCAAAGGAAAGTTGAGAAACAATGGAAATGATTGAGCAGCACGGTGCCTGCTAGCCCAAGTGCTCTAGGATCCTGAGTCATCTCACGATGACACAGGAAGTCAGCACTGATGACTGGAGGCATGCTTTCGAAGGGGGTGGCCCATAGCTAGTGGGAAAGCCCGCTCCATTTATATTAGGTTCACTTGACTTCAGGGAGCAGAAACCCATTCAATCTAGCTCAGACAAAAAGAGGATTCTTGAAAACTATACAGGGATCCTGACAGGAAATGAAGGACGATCGGGCCACCAGGAAAGGGAGCTGTAAGATCCAATGTCAGAGCTCCTCCCTGTGCCCTGCTGGGGTGAGCGGAAGGTGAGGGAGGAAAGGTTGGCTGCCCCTCCCAGCATAACTCATGACCTCTCTTCCCCAAGTTGCTTACACAAGACGGTGGATTTCCATAATGCCCACTTGGGTTCCCATCCCATAAAACCCTGCAGCTCAGCTCCTCTCAGCTGACTCATGCCTGTGTCTCTTGGTCAAACAAATGGCACAGCCTGGCCTCTAGCTTGGTCCCATCAGGTCTGGCATCTGTAGCCAGGAGGTGGATGGGCTTGTGAGGTGTAAACAGGCTATTTTGGTCTGTGACCAGGGGCACAGTCTCTTGGAGGGGGTGAGGGTAGAGATGCAAAGACTGAGCATCTGGCACAGCATTCCCGTTCAGCATCCAGGTCAAGCAGGTGTGGACCCAGGGTTGCAGTTAGTAGATTGGATCTGCTTTAGAATGACAGGAACGTAGCGCAGCAAGCTTGGACCTGTCAGATATTTGGGGGCATTTAGGGTAGTGGTTCTCAAACTCAGGCTTACATTAGAATCCCCTAGAGGGCTTGTTAAAACAGATTGCTGGGCCCCACCTCCAGAAGTTCTGATTCTATAGGGATGCAGCCTGAGAATGTGCATTTCTAACAAGTTCCCAGGTGATGGTGGTACCAGGGCCACACTTTGAGAACCACTGCTTTAGGGGAAAAGACTTGTGGGACTGGGATGGTTGTGGTGAAATTTTTGTTGTTGTCCTTTGTGTTTTTCCTTTTCTGTCACTGAATGAAGGAATTGTACTTTTTTATTAATGAAGGTGATTTTTACAATGAATTAGCTACAGGGTGGAGGAGCCTGAGACATTAGTGGAACTTCAAAGGAATGAGTGGGATCCAATCATCGAATGGGCTGAGAAAAGGTAAGATGTACAGCCCTGCAGAAAGCACTGACTGGGCACCTGCGTTGGTGGAGTGTTGGGGTCAGGGGACCACGCTGGAAAACTAGTGCCCTTAGCTAGTCAGTTTTCTGATTTCAGAGCACTCATGGGATTCGGCTCCCCTCATATGATCAGGGATACAGTCATCTTGGGAAAAAAGCACCCATTTCAGCCACTAGGTACAGCACACCTGCTATAGCAGTTCATGAAATATAAGGGCAGCTCTGTGTCCTTGGAGAAGCAGTGGAGTCCCCAGGCCACCTTCTGCCAGCGGGTCAGAGCAGCAGTGTCGGTTTGAATCCCAGCCCTGCTAGAGACTCAGTTGTGTGACTTGGCTAATGAGTTGATCTCTGAGCTTCAATTTCCTTGTCCATAAATGGGGCTAATAATCCCTACCTCTCAGGGTTTGAGGAGGAGTAAATGAACTGATGCATGTAAAGGCTTAGCATCCTGCTTAGCACACAGTAAATGTTCAAATTTTAGCAGTGATTTTCATCTCTGTCACAATTGCTGTACTATTAAATAACAGAACAACACCTATGATATGTACGCACTTGGAGAAAAGTCTGGATAGCTTCCTGCAAATTACAGGTAACATCCGATGGATATGTAGCTTCCAGGAATTGATATGAAATATTTTTCCTTAATAGGAAGACTTGAGTGCAAAGTTGAATGGATTATTGATGTGGTGGCAAAATAAATTCAATTTCATTTGATCCCAAGGGAAATTTGGAAGGGCTGGCTTTCATGGTAGTACCTTGACCATGGTATTTTCTAAGCTTGCAAGGTGTATTTCTTGGTATAGCATTTTTCACAAAAGTGATGTTACCAATCAGTTTACTGATTTGCCACATGCTGCCCGATGCTCACAATGTGGCAGGTGTCCTTGGGTCTTAAAGGAGAAGGCAAAGGCAGTGCTCTAAAGACCAGACTACAATACTGTGTGGGAATGCAACAATACAGTGTCATTTCAGAATCTAATGAAATATAATAATTTAGGTGCCTAGAGATCTTTGCTATAGTATAAAATCATCAGATTCTTGTGGCAGGAAATACCCTATCCTTAAGAGTTTACAGAAAAACTTAGCCATTTCCTACAGTCCATTTGTACTATTAGGAATTTCAGCAAGGATTTTTTTTTTTTCTTTCTTGATACGGAGTCTCGCTCTGTCACCCAGGCTGGAGTGCAGTGGTGCGATCGTGGCTCACTGCAACCTCCACCTCTTGGGTTTAAGTGATTCTGGTGCCTCAGCCTCTCGAGTAGCTGTGATTACAGGTGCCCACTACACCCAGCTAATTTTTGTGTTTTTAGTAGAGATAAGAGTTTCACTGTGTTGGCCAGGCTGGTCTCGAACTCCTGACCTCAAGTGATCGCCCACCTCAGTCTCATGAAGTGCTGGGATTACAGGCGTGAGCCACTGCACCCAGCCTTATTTTTGTAATTTTTGTAGAGATGGGGTCTCATCATGTTGCCCAGCTTGGGTTTTGAACTCCTGGCCTCAAGCAGTCTTCCCACCTTGGCCTCCCAAAGTGCTAGGATTATAGGCATGAGCCACTGTGACCAGCTTTTTTTTTTTTTTTTTTTTTTTAGCATTAAAAGCAAATTATTTGGCTGGGCATGGTGGCTCACGGGTGGGATCACTTGAGGTCAGGAGTTCGAGGCCAGTCTGGCTGGCATGGCAAAACCCTGCCTCTACTAAAAATTAAAAAATTAGCCTGGAGTGTTGGTGCACGCCTATAATCCCAGCTACTCAGGGAACTGAGGCAGGAGAATCGCTTGAACCCAGGAAGCGGAGGTTTCAGTGAGCTGACATTGTACCACTACACTCCAGCCTGGGCAAGAGAGTGAGAAGCCATCTCAAATAAATAAATAAATAAATAAATAAATAAATAAATAAAGCAAATGATTTACTCTTTTTTCCTCCACATGCTGCATCATTATTTCCAATAAATAACTTCAGTTAGGGCCTCCGAAGACTTTGAGAACTCAGTGAACACATGAACGAGTGAACAAACGAATGAATGAATGAAAGTTTTGTGTTTGTCACAGATGTGAGAGACTAAGTTATAGCTTATAGCTTCCAAAATGTGACTTCTTTGTTATCAGTTGAGGGAATCTGCATAATTCCTTAGAAGTACTCTTGATTGTTAATCCCTCCAGGGTAAAAGAAGGAGACTGTTTCATGTAAGATTTTATTCAAGTTAATTTCAAAAGGAAACACAGGACACAGATTTTCCCTTTCTTAAAGGAAATGTTTGGAGTTCCTGTTGGATACATAAGCAAGCTGGTTAATTAGGTTAATTAATTGGAGAGAGGGGATGGGAAATGCCCTTGGGAGCTCTGCATCCTGCCTATGTACCTCACACGCACACCCTGCGCCGGCACACTGGCTTTCCACTCACTCCTTAGAGGCATCAGGGTCTTGGCTGAAATGAGTCTCTAGCTTTGTCCCACTCAGACACCGACTTTAGGTTTGTGCTGGCATGGGGTGGCACTGGTGGTGGGGAGGGTGGGAAAGCATGCCGAGATGCTCCTGATCAGACTTGTCCCCAGGCTGGGGGGTTGGCAGAGGCATGACCAGCATGTCCTGTTCCTCCCTCCTCCCTGGAGATCGGATGCTCCCTTCCCCCAGCTTTAATCAGAAGCAGTTGATTATACCATGTTGAGTAGGGCAGACCTTGAATGGGGATATGAAAATCAAGCCAATCAATCAACATTAGCAGTAATGATACAAGCTGGTCCTGTCGCTTCCTGAGTTGTCTCAACGTTATTTTAAACTGCCTCTTTGAAAAATCTTTCTTACAGAAAGGAAGAGGTTTTATCAGAATGTCAGCATCACACAGGGTGAAGGTGAGTGTCTGAAATTTTGACTGCCTCTTTTTTTTTTTTTTTTTT